TCCCCCATCCCCTGGCAGTGCCATTTCAGCATGCTGAGTGGTGAGAGAATCTGTTTGCCTGGTGGAGGGAGAGTGAAGTAACTGCTGAAGTTTGCATTTAAACCTCAGTGTTATCTAGTCATATGGAAACACAGCATAGGGCAGAATTCCTGCCCCCATGGAGGGAATATTTAGACCAGCATAGCCAGAAGGAAATTGCCTGCCCACACACCTGAGTTCTGGCTGGCCCCACCACTGGCTGATAAAAAGGGGACTAAGGCCAGGAATAAATTTGTAAAGCAGTCAGGCCACAAAGACTGCAGTCCTTAGGCAATTCCTGTGGCTATGATGGCTCAGAGCCAGTGGACTTGGGGTGCATGTGATTTGGTGAGATCCCAGCAGTGGCAGCCAAGCCAGTGCCTGTGTTACCCCTCGCCCAACTGTAGGCAGTGCAGCTCAAGAAGAGTCTTCTTGCATTTTGGGAAAGGGAATGGAAGAGTTCAGAAGAGTTTGCTTTTCAACTTGGGTACCAGCTCAGCTACAGTAAAATAAAGTACCATACAGACTCTTGAAGCCCCCTAGTCCAGGCCTTAGTTCCAAGATGGTATTCCTAGACCTGCTATGCACCAGAAGAAAACATGCTGCCTTGAATGGAAGGACCCCATCCTGCAGGATTCACCACCTACTGACTAAAGAGCCTGTGGGCTTTGAGTAAACATTTGAGGTAGCCAGGCTACAGTCATTACTGTCTTTGGATGATACTGGGATGGCTTTAGGTATGACCTGGTGTAGTTGTAGTCCCAGCTGTGGTGGCCATGAGGGAGTACCAACATCTATCTTCGCAAAATCCAGCAGCCCACCACAGAGAGTGAGAGAAGAGAGTTAGAGACATTGCTTGGTAATCCAGGGAATTCTCCTGTATTAGACGCAAGTCCTCTAAGTCAGTACCACCAGGAGTCTTCAAGAGTCACAGCATTACAGGTCTTAGGGTGCCTCCAGTGCTGACATGGCTGCAGTGACCAAAGACTTAGATGAAAACACTCAATTCCCTTTGAAGATCTGGAGAATCTTCTCAAGAAGGATGGATTCAAAGAAGCCCAGATTGTGAAGGTTTATTGCCTAACTCTTCAATGCCTGAACATTAATGAACATCCACAAGCATCAAGAACATCCAGGAAAATATGACCTCACCAAATAAAATAAATGAGGTACCAGTGGCCAATCCTGGAGTGATGGCAATATGTCATTTTCAGACAAATAATTCAAAATAGCTGCCCTGAAGAAGTTCAATAAACTTCAGGGTAACACAGAGAAATTCAGAAGCCTATTAGAGAAATTTAACAAAAAGATTGAAATATTAAGGAAATAAAAAAAGCAGGAGCTGAAAAATTCAATTAATAAACTGAAAAATGCATTAGAGTCTCTCAACAGCAGAAGTGATCAAGCAGAAGAAAGAATTAGTGAACGTGAAGAAGACTCTTTGAAAATACCGTTAACTTTGTCAAAGATCCGATGGCTATATGAGGAAGGTTTTATATCTGGGTTCTCAGCCCTATTTCATTGGTCTATTTCTCTGTTCTTGTGCCAGTTCTATGCTGTTTTGGTTACTATAGCCTTGAAATATATCTTGAAGCCTGGTAAATTGATGCCTCCCAATTTGTTCTTTTTGCTTAAGGTTGCTTTAGCTATATAGGGTCTTCTCTGGTTCCCTGTGAAGGGTTGAATTATTTTTTCTATATCTGGAAAAAATGATGTTGATATTTTAATATGGATTGCACTGAATCTGTAGATCACTTTGGGTAGTATAGACATTTTAACAATGTTGATTCTGCCAATCCATGTGCACGGTGTGGTTTTCCACCTGTTTACGTCCTCTGCTATTTCCTTTGTCTGTGTTTCTTAGTTCTCCCTGTAGAGGGGTCTTTCACCTCCTTAGCTAAATATATTACTAGGTATTTTGTTTTATTTTTTTGTTGCTATTGTGAAAGATATTGAGTCTTTGATTTGGCTCTCAGTTTGACACACTGGGGAAAAGAGTCCCTCCTCAACAAATGGTGCTGGGAAAATTGGAAAGTCACATATAGAAGACTAAATAGGATTTGCACCTCTCACCACTTACAAAAATTAATTCATGATGGATAACAGATTTAAACCTAAGGCATAAAACCATAAGAATTCTAAAATAAAATGTTCAAAAAACTCTTATAGACATCAGCTTAGGCAAAGAATTTATGAAGAATACCCCCAAGCTGTCACAGCAGCAACAAAAATAAAGAAATGAGACCTGACCAAATTAAAAAGATTCTGCACAACCAAATAAACTATCACTACAGTGAATAGATAACCTACAGCATCAAAGAAAATTATGGAAGTCAGGAAAATAAGCAAGAAAAAAAATCAAACAACCCCATTAAAATGTGGACAAGGAACATGATCATAAACTTTTCAAAAGAAGATAGACTAATGGCCAATAAATAGATGAAAACAATGTTCAACATCTCTAATCTTAAGGGAAATGCAAATCAAAACCACAATGAGGTATCACCTAACTCCAGTGAGAATGGCTTTTATCAAAAAGTCCAAAACAACAGATGTTGGCGTGGATGTGAAGAGAAAGTAACACTTGTACACTGTTGGTGGGATTTCAACCTGGTACTGCAACGTCTATGGAAAGTAGTATGGAGATACCTCAAAGAACTAAAAGTAGCCCTACTGTTTGATCCAGCAATGCCACTAATAGGTATTTACCCAAAGGAAAGAAAGACATTTTATAATAAAGACACTTGCACTCGAATGTTTATAGCAGCACAATTCATAATCCCAAGGATGCGGAAATAACACAAGTGCCCATCAATAGATGAGAGGATTAGTAAAATGTGGTGTATGTATACCATGGAGTACTACTTAGCTATAAAAATAGTGACCTAGTATCTTTTGTAACAACCTGGATGGAACTGGAGACCATTCTTCTAAGTGAAGTATCACAAGCATGGAACAACAAACACTACATGTACTCATACCAAATTGGAACTAATGAATCAACACTTATGTGCACATATGGAAGTAAAACTCAATGGAAATCAAGTAGGTGGGAGCAGGGAGGAAGGGATGAGTAAATTCATACCTAAGGGGTACAATGCACACTATCTGGGTGGAGGGCAATCTTATAACTGACTCAAACTGCACAAAAGCAAATTATGTAACCAAAATGTGTGTACCCCCACAATATTATAACATTTTTAAAAAAGTTACTATTAAAAAGAAAATAAAACAAAAATATCCAAAGTAATGGAATATGTTTCATGGAACTACTGTCCGAAGTGGAGAACCATGGGGGAAATGGGCAGTACTGGTGTGGTCTCCAGCTATGTTTCATGGTTCAAGGCCCTGCAATAGGGGGTGGTAATTGGTAGTATTCCTACATACCAATGAAATGTTGGATCCATTCCACCTGATACCTAGAGTTGGACTTTTAGTGAAGAGTGGGGAGCAGGACAATAGTGGGTTTTCTTCTAATGGAGGGGCAGTGTGCATGCTGAACACCAGTAAAAACCTACGGATATGTCACTGATTGTGCTTCTGCCTTCACAGAAGTTTATGACGGTAGATGGAAAAGACTAAAGGGGCCAACTCAGCCCACAGAGAAAACTCCAGGACTGCTTCTCAAGTGTCAGTCATTCTATTCCACTTCCCATAGAGAACTTAATGGATACTGGCAAAATCAGACCTGCAGAGGAAAGGAGAGCATGTGTGAGGGGAGCAGCTGTGGAGTATTGGTGTCACAGAGGTTTCTGACATGATAGATCTTTGTATTTTATTTTATTTTTTCTTAAAGAATTGGTGTCTTGTTCTGTTGCCCAGGCAGGAGTGCAGTGGTGTGATAATAGCTCACAGCTGCCTCAAACTTCTGGGGTCAAGCAATCTTTCCACCTTGGGCTCCTTAGTAGCAATGGCTACTGGTGTCCCCCACCACATCTGGCTAATGACATGACAGTTCTGATATAAGAAGGTTGCTTCTCAAGTCCAGTTTCCTCATGCCAGTAATTATCCTTGGAAGGAGGCAGCCTGCGAGATACCAAAGATGTTTGCTGGAGCGTGAGATCCCACATCTTGCTTAGGCCAATGGCTCCCCCATGTGTGATAAAATTGACTATAGCAGTAGTTTGGAACTCTAAGGAATGTTTGCAGTATCAGAGCTTCATGGGAAATTTTTTTTTTTTTTTTTTGAGGCAGAGTCTTACTTTGTTGCGCAGGCTAGAGTGAATGCCATGGTATCAGCCTAGCTCACAGCAACCTCAAACTCCTGGGCTAAAGCACTCTTGCTGCCTCAGCCTCCTGAGTAGCTGGGACTACAGGCATGCACCACCATGCCTGGCTAATTTTTTTTCTATATATATTAGTTGGCCAATTAATTTCTTTCTATTTATAGTAGAGATGGGGTCTCACTCTTGCTCAGGCTGGTTTTGAACTCCTGACCTCGAGCAATCCATCTACCTCGGCCTCCCAGAGTGCTAGGATTACAGGCATGAGCCACCACGCCCAGCCAGGAAAAAAATTATTGACATCTTCTCACTGGAAATTGGGGAATCTGCTGTATTAACATCTGCTAGGATTGCAAGATTTGTAGATAGCTATGGATGATGTTTGCATGAGATAAGTCGAGCAAGCTGCTGTGGAGTTTAGAACCAAAAGGAAATATCATGTCCCTGGTTGAAAATGGATTGGTGCACTAATGGCGGTATAAATACAGATCTTGCTTATTAATAAAATTATTCTTTAGTATACTATTATTAAGCTGTTATAAGTCAAACAGGCTGCAATCACAAAGAATAAGCTTGAGCAAGACTGTGTTAGACAAACCTGAAAACATTCCTGGAGGTGCAAGAGTACATGTATGATCTTGCTGATGTCTCAGACTAGAGATGGTTTGTTGAAAAACGCTGTTAAAGATTTAAACCACTTTGGAATATCCCCATCTCCCTGATTTATACCAATATAAATATCCCTGCTTCTGGGAGGCTCTATCTTCCAAATACTTTCCTAAATGCCTCCTTCACATCCTTGTTCCTTAGGCTATAAATGAAAGGGTTCATCATGGATGTTATGACTGAGTAGAACACTGAGATCACCTTGTCCCCCTCATTCATTTTCTTTGAATTAGGCTGCATGTAGGTAAATATTGTTGACCCATAGAAGAAGAAAACAACAATGAAATGGGAACCACACGTAGAGATGACCTTGAGCCTCTTCTTCCCCGACTGTATTTGAATCACAGTGGAGATAATATTCCAGTAAGAGAAAAGGATAAGAGAGACAGGACCGAGGAGGATTACCACACCCATTGCAAAGATGGTCATTTCTGTGCTGTAGGTATCTGCGGTAGCCAGCTTCAGGAGGGCAGGAGGCTCACAAAAATAATGATTAATTATATTCTGTCCCTGATAAGGAAGAAATAAAGTGAATGTGGTGTCTACTAAAGACACAAATGCTCCACTGGCCCAGGACCCTATGACTAGCTGAAGACAAATGCTCTGGGTCATGAGGGTGGAATAGTGTAGGGGCTTGCAGACAGCCACATAGCGGTCATAGGCCATCGCTGCTAGAAGTGAACTCTCTGTACACCCCATTATTAGGAACAAAACCATCTGAATCAAGCACCTAGTAAAAGAAATGGTCTTTCTCATGACCAGCAAATGGAATAGCAATTGGGGAACAATAGTAGTAGAGAAGCAGAGATCAACAAATGACAAATTTTTAAGTAAGAAGTACATTGGTGTGTGAAGTCGAGCATCAACATGAATTAGGAGGATAATGAGAAGATTCCCAAGCACGGTCAGCAGATAGATGAAGAGAAATATCACAAACAGCAAGATCTGGGTCTGATGATCTGAAGAAAGGCCTAGCAAGATAAATTCAGTCACATATGTTTGGTTTTCTTTGCCCATTGATGTTTACTCCTGCCTACAGATTGGCATAAATAGAGCAATCAAATGTTGACTGTGATTGAGCAACAAATAAGAAAGTGAAAGTATCATTGGAAGAGCAAATGTATTTGATTTAAAATTTTGTAAATATCTAAGACACTTTACTCTATAATTTTTTCATCCCTATATTCCCACTGAAGCATTTTGGTTGGTAGGTGCAGAAAAATCAGGAATACGATTTCGTGGTGATTCTTGCTGTCAGAGTGCTCTCAATCGTAGAGCCATTGTTCAACAGTTGTATGGATAATGTCAAAAAGGCTTCATAGAACATTACATGTTACTTGTTTGAACTAAAGAAAAAGGATATAAATATATTATATGGTTTTGAAAAAATATAAAGAATTCTCCCTTTAGTGGAAAGCACAGATTGTGTTTTCTTTTCTAGTTTACTTACCACATAGCCAATTTTCACTTTAATTTCATCAAATAGTAGAGGCCAATAGTCAACTTTTCTATTTTGTTTCCAGTGGATTTTCTTTCATTCTTCCTAAGCCATAAATGGAATTTTAAGAGGTATTTTCAATGATGTTAGAATCTGTGGTCCTGGTACTTCCCTATATTCTTTATAGGGTAGAGAAACAAATCTTGATGGTGATGGCAGTGCTCAAGAGTAAGGCATAAAGGGACCTCATTGTCATGGATCCAAGACAGTGAAGAAGTGGCCAGACAGGCAGCACCACACAGTATGGTAGGTAGGGCTCTTCATGGAGACCAAATGCGGCCACAACAGCTGTCTGCATAGTTGCAATGTTTAATCTGGCATAACGACATTTGACCTCATTCGTGTGGCAATTTGATTTAGAATATCCAATCAGTTAAATGAATGCATCAGTAGGAAATGGGGCACTGGTCCCACACTCTGAAGCCAGCCAGGAAACACTACTTAAATGAATGGATTAATAAAATGTAATATATGTATACCACAGAGTATTAGCCATAAAAAATGGTGAACTACTTATTGTATTATCCTGGATGTAGCTGGAGCTCATTCTTCTAAGTGACATATCACAAGAATGGAAAAACAAACACCACATGTACTCACCATTAAATTGGTACTAATTGATCAACTCTAATGTGCACATATGGGAAGTAACGTTCATAGGGTGTTGGGCAGGCGGGAGGGGGGAAGAGGGGTTGGGTAAATTCACACCTAACAGATGTGGTGTTCACTATCTGGGGGTGGGTATGCTTGTAGTTCTGACTCGGCAGGCAAAAGCAATTTGTGTAATCAAAGCATTGGTATTCCTGTAATACTCTGAAAAAAAAAACCTCTATACTTTGCTATACATCAGCAACAAATAAGGAATAACATGGCTGGACCCAATATAATGGGTAAATAGTTCAGAAAGAGTCAGGGAAGGTAGCATGGGAAGGTCGTGGGCAAACAGCTGGGACTCGCAGCTGGAATCTGATAGCCCTGGGAAGCACTGAAGTATTGGGCATAGAACTACCCTTTAGAATGAAGAAGGTATCAGAGAAGAAAGTCAGTCCTTATGGCAGGATCATTTCTCCTTTTCTTTTCTTTTTAACTAATCAAAAGCAATCTGGAGAAGGTAGAGCCATCTTTGGATAGGGAAAAGTCAAAGACTGCAAACATGTAAGAGTTTGTTTTCACATTTAAGTCCCCATGTCTAGGTGGCATTATAGGAGAAATGTGAACAGAACCATTGTGGCTGACCACTGACTCATGAGCTACCAAGTATGACTTGATTTCAAGACCAATGGGTGACAGCGAAGTTTCTATTTGCGAATATCTATCCAGATTGGATCTGAATTGGGTCCAGCTAGAATCTACGGGAGGCTCCACTGGCTTTGAGGGACCAGGAAGGCATAGTCAGGAAGCACATTGAGGGACTGGCAAAATCAAATGTGAAAAATCTTTCTTTGAGCTTTAGTGTAAAGAGATGACTCAAGAGTATCAGGGGTAAAGTCTGTGACATCAACAGCCAAAATAATCTCTTGCTTAAGTTAGTGCTTTGGAAATTGATTTATAACACATTTATAACTCAAGACATTTTCAGTGACTGAGTTAAATAAATAAACAGCTGAAAGCATTCAGGAATGAATGGACTCCTCATACACAGGTACTGTCACATACTTGCGCTACTCATTCTATCTAAAGCACAGTATACAATTTGAGATAGGAAAACTCTTACATTGCTAGTGGGACTGCAAATTAGTGCAACCTCTGTGGAATAGAATTTGGAGATACCTCAAGGAGCTAAAAATAGAAATACCATTTGATCCAGCAATAGCACTATTAGGCATCTACCCAAAGGAAGAAAAGTTATTATATAACAAAGACATCTGCACTTGAATGCTTATGGCAGCACAATTCACTATTGCAAGGATGTGGAAACAACCCAAGTGCTCATCAATCCATGAGTGGATTAATAAAATATGGCATAAGTATACAATGGAATACTACTCCATTATAAAAAATGACGGTGATCTAGCACCTCTTATATTTTCCTGGATAGAGCTTGAACTCATCCTCCATAGTGAGGTATCACAAGAATGGAATAACAGGCACCACTTGTATTCACCATCAAATTGGCACTAACTGATCAAGACCAATGTGCTCACACAGTAGCAATATTCTTTGGGGGTTTTGGAGTTGGGGGTGGGTAAAATCATAACTAATGAATGTGATGAGCATTGTAGGGGGGAAAGGGCATGCCTCAAAATCATGGGTTTTGTATGGCAAAGTCATAACATGTAACCAAAATGTTTGTACCCTCATAATATCCTGAAATTAAAAAAAATACACAAACTTTTTTTTATGTACAAAATTATTAAAAGTATTGCATGAAATTAAAAAAATTTGGAAGGCACAGCTGATACTGGCCAAGCTAGGTGATCTTTTTAGAATGGAGATATCCTGTGACATGGAGAAACACAAGGTATGATTACCTGGGTTACTCATGTAGAAGAGAGGACATCATTAGTAGTTGTTCTTCTTTTAGTGGAAATAGGAACTGAACCTCAATTTGCAATCCTTCTTTCTCATTCTTACCCATGGAGAGAGTGTATCAATATCTCTGAAGACTATAATACTGGTGCTTATAGCACACACACTCAACATTAATACTCACCAAGTTTTGGCTCCTTCCTACTCCCCAGATAATGGGTTGTCAATTGCAGGAAGCTCTGTCTTGCATCTTAGGCAGCGCCCTGTGAGTCCAGTGGATATTACCAGCAAGAGATCATAAGAAAAGTAAAAGAGGAAGACAACACAGATAGTGATAAGAGCCAATGATCAGAAAACAAGGAGATTCTGTAGCTGAAAAGGGATATATCTAGTGTGAGTGACAATGATACTTTCAGGTTCTTGGGACTCTCAGCACCTAAACTGACCCCCTCACAAAGAGTCCAACAGCAAGATTTCTAAGGGCTGAGAATTTCACAGGTGGGGAAAAGAAAAAATATTCTCTCCTAAATAGACTATGGGCTATAAAAATAAAGATTTTGGTTTCTCCTAGGATAGACTCAAGATTTCTGGTTTTGGAAGGTTTGTTCCCTTCAGGATTTTCCTCCTTGGTCACTTCAGCATCTTCCTTTTTACCTGGAGGTCTAGGATGAATTTGTTCTCCAGATGTGGAACTACAGGTGAGGTGACTTATACTAAGTACAGTAGAGATCCAGAGATCTAAGCTGTAGATTTGGAGTTAGATATTCAGTCCTGGTGACTTTCAACCATCTCCCCTGTCAGCTGAGCACAAATTGAGCTTTGCAGTAGATTTTGTTCCAAACTTTTGCTGTATTCTTGGCTGAAGTAAACAATTATTTGTCAAGCACCAACACTGAACTGAATCTTGTTCTATGAGGAATTCTTAAAAGATTGAGGTCCTGAGAGGTGATGCAAATAAGCTATTCCCTAGGGTTCTCCTTGGGAAAATCTTGCTTCATTACCTCTTCACACAATGAATTACCTTGGGATTTTTTAGTAATCATAGGTTCAATTCTGTGAATCTCTTCTGATATCAATTCTTTAAACAAAAAAAAAAATTGTATCCTCTGAGCCTCAAAAGTAGCCAAGAAGTTGCCCATACCTGTCCCTTCTCTGTGGTAGCCAAGTCAAGATTGTAAAGTGTATGCAGTCATCTTTGCATTATTTACTTTAAATTTTTATATTTTTATTGACATAATATATTAATAGTTATACATGTATTTGGGTTACATGTGATATTTTGATATATATATACAATGTGTAATAATCAAGCCAAGGTAATTGGGATATCCATCACCTCAAGCATTTATCTTTTCTTTGTGTTGGTAAATTATATTTCTTCTTTCCTGGCTGTTTTGAAATGTGTAATAAATTATTGTTAACTGTAATTTCCCTACTATACTATTGAATAATAGAACTTATTCATTCAATCTAACTGTATTTTTATATTCATTAATCAAATTATCTTAATTTCTCCTTGTTCCCTTCCCTTTCCAGGCTCTGGTAACCACAATTCTAATCTCTAGCTCCATGAGTGCCACATTTTTAGTGCTCACATATGAGTGAGAACATGCAATATTTGTCTTTCTGTGCCAGGTTTATTTCATTTAGCATAACCAACTCCAGTTCCATCCATATTTATGCAAATGATATTTATGCTTTCTATGGTTGAAAAATATTTCATTATGTATATATACACCATTTTTTTAATCCATTCATCCATTGTTGGACATTCAGGTTGATTCCATACTGTGAATAGTGCTGTAAGAAATATGGGAGTGCAGATTATCTCTTCAACATTTTGATTTCCTTTCTTTTGGATATATACTCAGCAGCAAGATTTCTGGATCATATGGAAGTTCTATTTTTAGTTTTTTGAGAAATCTTCATACTGTTACAAATGGTTGTGTTTCTTTATATTTTTACCATCAGTTACAGCATTTCTTTGTCAATGCATCCTTTCCAGAATTTGTTATTATTTCTTTTTGATAATAGCCATTCTAACTGGGAT